AGCTTGAGACCATAACAAATCAGACATAGCAGTTTAAATCTCCCATGGTTTCTCTTACATCAGAAACTCATAATTTGAGGAGCAAAATACAAGGTAATACAGAAAGGTTTCTGGGAAGGTGGTAAGCAGCAGAGTGGTAAGCAGCAGAGAAAGAGCCTCTCCGAGAGTCACTGTCCAGACACTGGGATATAGCAATGTGGGGAAACAAGGAGGGAGGGAAGTGGGTCCAGAGGAAGGATCTGAGGTTCGAAGTGAAGCCCATGGAGAGTGAAGAGAGAAACTTGAATGAAGAGGAAGTAGGTAGCCAGTGGCACCTTTGCCCCGAGACTTCTAGAATTAGTAAGCCAATTCAGTAGCATAGCTGGATACTAAGTCAGCACTCAAAAATTAATGGCCTTCCTGTACAGGAATAAAAAAACGCAGAGAAATTAGGGAAACAACACCTTTTACAATAGCATCCAAAAAAACTGAAATACCTAGGAAATAAAAGACCTCTACGTTGCTGGGTGTGGTAGCATGTGCCTGTAATCCCAGCACTTGGGAGGCTGAGGCAGAAGGACTGCTGTGAGTTCGAGGCCAGCCTGGCCTACATTGTGAGTTCAGGGGCATTCTGAATTATATATACAGTGAGATAGTCTCAAAAACCGAAACAAAAAGGACCTCTACATTGAAAACTACAGCACTCTGAAAAAGGAGACAGAAGAGGATGTCAGAAAATGGAAAGATATCCCTTACTCTTGGGTAGGAAGCACCAACATAGTGAAAATGTCCATACTTCCAAAACTATTATACAGATTTAATACAATTCCAATCAGAATTCCAACAGTATATCTCACAGAATTATAGAAAATCCTAAAATTCATTTGGAACCAGAAGAGCCCTGGAATAGCAAAGGCAATTCTAGGCAACAAAGGCAAGGCAGGAGGCATCACAATCCCTGACTTGAAATTATACTATAAAGCTACTGTGACAAAAACAGACCTGAGGATCAATGGATTAGAAGATGCAGAAACAACTCCAGAGGTACTCAGCCACCTTATCTTTGACGAAGGTGCCAAACACATTCACTGGAAGAAAGACAGTCTCTTTAATAAATGGTGCTGGAAAAACTGGCTCTGCACATGCCCAAGATTAAAGTTGGACCCGTATTTTTCACCATGCACTAAATTAAATTGAAATGATTAACGATCTAAATATTAACACAAACATTAAATCTGCTGGAAGATAGCTAAAACTCAAACTCTTGAAGACAATGGTGCAGGCAAAGATTTTATGAATAAAACCCAGGTTGCACAGGAACTATCACAAATAATCAACAGCAGGGATCTCATCTTACTAAAAAGCTTTTGCGTAGCCATAGAAACCATCAACAGAGTCAAGAGACAACCCACAAGATGGGAAAAGGTTTGTCAGCTGTTCCTCAGACACAGGATTGATTACTATGAGAACATACAAAGACCTCAACAAAATCAGACCTCCCAAATTTAAAGACCCAATCCAACAATGGGCATATGAAATAAATACACACTTCTCAGATGATGATATACAAACAGCAAATAAATATATGAAAAAATGTTTAATATCACTGGTCATTTGAGAAATGCAGATTAAAACAATACTGAGATTCTCTCTCACTCCAGAAAGAATGGCTGTCATCAAGAAATCAACCAGTAAATGCTGGAAGCACTGTGGGGAAAAGGAACCCTTCTCCACTGTTGGTGGGAATGTAGACTGGTGCAACCACTGTGGAAATCAGTGTGGAGATTCCTCAGGAAACTAGGACTAGAGGTTCCATTTGACCCAGCTGTTCCCCTGCTGGGTACCAGTGATATTTGTGCAGCCATGTTTATAGCAGCACAATTTGTAATAGCTAGGTCTTGGAAACAACCCAAATGCCCATCAACTGAGGAACGGATACAAAAGATGTGGTACTTTTATACAGTGGAGTACTACTCAGTCATAAAGGATAAACTGTAGACTTTTATAGGTAAATGGATGCAACTCAAGACCATACTCATAAGAAATAAATCAGACTCATGAAAATATCATATTGTCTCCCTAGGGTGAGAAGCTGAACAAGTAAATAAGACCCAAAATGTACAACAGATATTGTGAATTGGGCAGAAACTGTTGAAAAGGAAAGAGAAACCGGGATGAAGGAAAGGAGAAAAGGAAGGGAAAAGCAAAAAAAATATACACAAGATAATTAAGATAGTTACACTACTAATTTCTCTTGGTATACTGACAAAGGTTTGTGCTAATATTGTTTGTACAATTAAATGCCTATATCTTGTACTGAGTAATCTAAAGATAACAATACGCAATGTATTAATCAGTTACTGTCCTATTGTTTTGAAATTTTACTTTTTCTCTTTAAAACAGAACTAAAAAAAAAGATAATAGGGAATGGGAGAGAGACCTTTTGCAAATGGGAAGGGGACTGAGAGATGGGAGGAGGACGGAAGGGGGAGCGATGAAAAGAATTAGGATGTGTTACGTACATGAACCACCTCCCCACGAGGAGTGTGATCAGTGTACACTACAACATGCACTAATCCAACTTAAGAGACTGCTACGAGTTGAAGATACTAAACTCAAAAACTGGTTTATTATAAATATAGGAAGTAAAAAAAGATTGTAAACTGGATAAACATACAATATCCACATTGGGCAAGGGACCAATATAAAGAATCAATTTCTGGGATGTGTAGGGATACACACATACAGAAACATATGGACACCTACACATGGTACACAAGACACACAAAGCTCCCACAAATAGACCACTAATAATGTCTGAGAGGTGCTTTTTGAGACAGGGTCTTGCTATGTAGTCCAGGCTGGCCTTGAACTCAGCAATCCTTCTGCATCAGCCTCTCAAGGGCTAGGATTATCACAGGATTTCACCACCACCCTGGGCTCAAGCACTAGTAATTTAATCAACTAGTAATTTAAAAATGAGCAAAAGACACAAACCGTGGTTTCGCGGTCAATACACATGTAGATGCTGCGTGTAACTTGGAATCCGGGAACAGCACACAAGGCCAAAGAGCCATGTTTACACCCAGCTTGACTGGCAACGAGGTGTTAACAATATCTGCACTGCTGCTGAGGGGTGTGAACGAGTGAACTACTTTGGAAAACGTCCCGTCTCCTAAAGTTGAGGTGGGGCTGACCATGGTGGCACACACTTGTAGTCCAGCTCTTGGGGGGGCTGAGCCAAGAGGATCATGAAATTGGGCCAGAATGGGAGACGGAACAACTTAGTAAGACACTATCTCAAGGGAAAAAAAGAGGGCAGACACTGTGACCCTCAATTCTACCCATATTCCATAATCTAGCTTTTCACACCCGAGAAAAACTCGCACGGGTACAACAGACACATCAACAGAGGCAGACTGTGCTCAGCAGCGTGACTCGTAACTGCAGGGACAGTGAGGGCAGAGCACAGCGGGAAGGGTGACCTGCGGTGCACTTACTTGTGCAGGGCGGGCAGGCGGAGCAGTCAGGTGGCTGGCGGTGGTGGCAGCGGCAGCGGCAGCAGTGCAGCTCAGCAGTATTTAATCTAGGCACACACACTCCAAATTCTACTACAGCACTGAAGACCGGAGATGCTACTGGGTCACTCGTCCCTTACCTCGCACCACACAGGCCTTGCTCCTCCCAGGGCTGCCGCTCCTCCTCCTCCTCCCAGAAGCCGCTGCCTCACATGTCCCTCAGCGCCCTGCCCGCTCCTGCTTGGGGCTCCTTTCTGTTGCCATGGCACCATGACCCCATACCTGTTCCAGTGAGGTGGGCCAGGGCACAGCTGTTTGTGTCACTTGAGCAGAACGAGCATTTGCTGAAAGCACCGACCGGAGTGTCACTTCTGTCCCTCTCGGTGACCTCTGCCTTAGCTGTCTGAACTCAGCCCTGCCTGTTTGAGCCTGAATCCGACCTGGCTCCTGGGGAGATGTGCAAGGTCTCCACTCTGTCCTTCCCTAGTTCCCTCTGTGACCTAAGCCCAGATGTGAGCCTCCTCTCTTGCCCGGACCAGCCTCCCTCCCTCTGGTTCTTTCTCTACACTGGCACCACCGGTCTTTCTAAAGACTGCTTCTGACCCCATTTCTCTGTGGTGAGAACCCTTCCAAAGAGTGGGCAGTGCAACTCAGCCGCGGTGCTGGCCTAGCCGGCCTGAGGCCCAGCTTCCAGCCTCAACACCCCTTGCGTGGTTCTCTGCTGCCCTCTGGACTCCTGGCTCTTCACTCTGCAGTGAAGTTTGAGCTGCCCATCCTGCAGTTCTGTCAGCGCGGTGAACATGCTGGTGGATCAGCCTCAAGTAGGGAAAGCTCTTGGTCCTGCACGCGGGACAGGGAATTGCACCTTCCTTTCCACTGCTCTGCTCCTGGACCCTCGTCCCCACTGGAGCTCCTCCCCAGCCCTCGGGCTCCAGCGCCTCACACAGTAGGCAGCTTCTGCTGGAGGGTGAGGCCTCCAGCATTCTTTTGTAAGACATGCACTCTGGTGACAACTTTGGGACTGTGTGTGGCGGGGGAGGAAGAGAGGGAGGGAGGGAGGGAGAGAAGAGAGAGAGAAGAGAGAGAGAAGAGAGAGAGAAGAGAGAGAGAGAAGAGAGAGAGAGAAGAGGGAGAGAGAGAGAGAGAAGGAGGAGAGAGATTGGGGATCTAACCTTGCCAGGCCTAATGCATGCTAGGCCAGCAGTCTACCACTGCAGCTCCTGCCCTTTCTATTTTAGAGACTGGTCTCATGAAGTTGCCCAGGCTGGCCTCGAATTTGTGATGTTCTTGCCTCAGCCTCCCAAGCAGCTGGGATTCCAGGTGTGTCCCCAGGCACAATGGCACTGATTTTTAAAGATAGTTCATGGTGTATCTGAAAAGAGGCCCTTGCTGGAGCCTCCCTGAGGACCGCATCTTAGCAGAGCTCTGAGGTCTGCGCTAGGACAAGCTGGCCGCCCGTGCCCAGCTGAGTCCACAGGGCTTCGGCCACGGGGCCTCACTCACCGTGTTGAAATATTCCACGCCGGTGGTTTCAAAGGCCCTCGACACAGCTTGGGTGGTGGCCACACAGGCGACAGGGTGGCCATTGCCGATGGACTTGCCCATAGTGACGATGTCAGGGGTGAAGTCCTCCCCCTGCAGCTGGAAGGCCCAGAAGTGCTTGCCTACGCGGCCAAAGCCGACCTGGATCTCATCTGCCACGAAGACTGCTCCGGCCCTTCGGACGTGCCTGTGGCAGAGGACCCAGAGCTGACGGGCTGCAGTGAGCGGCCCGGCCGGGCTGGGCTGGGAGCTGGGAGGCCCTTGGCCAAGGGCGGCCTTCTCTGGACCGCTACTTTAAGGCTGTTTCCAAGGCTTCAGGCCAGCAGGCCAGCCGTGGTTGGCACCTGGGGCAGGGCCACCACCTACTCACTGTGCCACGAGGGAGAAGTAGCCCACAGGGGGAAGGATCTGCCCGGCGACGCTGGGCAGCGACTCCGCAAAGAAGGCTGCGATCTGTGAACGAGAACGGGGTGGAGCACAGCAAGGGTCCGGCAGCCCTGCTAACGGCAGAGGAGCTGTCCCCTGCAGGGTGGGTCACCCTCACTGCTACATCGCTGTTGGGCCCCGTATCACGACTGAGGGGCTGTGACTCACTTTCTACTTCCGCCGTCACACCAGCTCTGGCCTCCCGGAGGCCGTCCCTCTCCTGTGCTGCTCGCCGGCAGCCCCCACCGGCGTGCTCTTTCTGCCCCTCTCTGGTGACCACTGCCATCTTCACCCCTCCCGCCTACGACAGAAATGGAACTCAGCCCCGAGCGCCCCCTGCTCCCTTGTGGTGACGTGCTGGCTGTGTCTGGATGTCCCCCAAAGCCTCACACAGCCACAGGAGGGGCTTCTCAGAGGGTGCGACGCTGGGATCAAGGGTGTGTAACCCCTGGGTCAGTCCGCTGACTGGGTGGCACAGTTCTGGGTATCAAGTACCGCCCTAAGGCTAGGCACCCTACATACAACATAAGGGGACAGAAGTCTGTACTGCCGTCTGTCGCTCGTTTGCTGCCTTCTGCCTGCCCTGCTTTGCCATGGTTTCTCCTTTCCAAAACCCCTGCTGTGGAGCCAGCGACTACGAACTAAAACCTCTACGAGCTGTGAGCCACGCAAACCTTTTCTCCTTTAACTCTGGGTGTCAGGTATTTTGTCTCAGCAACAACAGAAAAAGTAACAAAGACAGCCCGCAGCCTGCACCTGCCCCACCTCTAAACTGCTGCTTCTCCTCAACCTGGACACTCCTGCCAGACCTGCCTGCCTCAGCCCTCTGCAAATGCTGCCTCTCACATGGCCCTTGGGGTGATGCCCTGAGAGAGCTGAGCTTGCTGCCATCCTGTGTGAACCCCTTCACTGACCCCTTCTGCCCCAGCAGTGATTTCCCAACTGTGGTCTGCCCGGTATTGCTTCTGAGGTCACTGCTGGGACATGGAAGGGCCCAAAGGATGGAAACTGGGCCTCCACCCCAGCTGCATCTGAAGCACTGTCACAGAAGTGACGGGCTTCCCGGCCAGTTCTGCGTCAGGCCCACAGCCTGCCTGCCTTACCCACCCAGCTTGCGGGGCTCTGTCCCTCCTGGAACACCCTGCAGATTCCGGCCTCCCACAGCGAGGTGCTGGCTCTGCCCTGCTCCCCCGCTCCTCTGTGAAGCCAGCTGGGCCTCCTCACTGCTCCCAAAGTTCTGTTCTCAGGCTGTCCCCCTTCAATGCCACCCCGGACCCAGCCAGGGGAGCCTGTCTCTTGCCCTCACTTTCCCAGGCCTCCATGGCTTGCTGCCCACTCGGTCCAGCCCACACTTGTGAGGCCACGCCTCCGCGCACACTGCCTGGCCTACTCGTCAGGACTGCAGTCAGGGGGCCCCTCCTGCAAGGACACTCCTGCACGCCTGCTCCCGCCCAGCCTGGACCCCGGCCGCCCGTGACAGGGACAGACCTTGCTCTGTGCTGACACACTTACTGCCCTCTGTGCTGGGCACCTTACTCCCCGCCGCTGGAACCAAGGGCGGGCCACGTTCTTTCTACCTGGTCCCAGCATCCAGCCTAGCCTGGCGAGGTGGCACGCACCCGCACAGGTGCGGGCAGTTACCTTCCGGCCCTTCTCCTGTGCGCTGCTGACCACACGGCTCACCTCGTCGGCATAGGCCACAGCTGGGTCAGGGTGGTCTTCCCGGTAGGGGCCCCGGTAGACGTCTGGGAGAGGCACCTACAGGGAGTGACAGCACCTTGTCATCCCGGCTTGGGGACTGGCACTCAGCTGCTGCCAATGTGGGCGGCGCGTACCACATGGACCCACTCCTTCTGGCCGTCCAGGTCCCGGAACTTGTAGGGACTGATGTCGATCAGGGAGCTCAGGTGGCCATGATAAGCACTGTGGAGAAGGAAGGTGAGGGGCTCAGGTGCCCAGGCCCTGGCCACTGTACCCACCTTCAGAGACAGCACACCAGGGAGCTAAGCATTCTGACACGGCCCTGAGCACGGGCGGCGGAATGCACGGGACTTCCTGCACGGCCGCTTCCTGGCCGTGTCACGTGCTAATCATTTAGCGAGTCCAGCTTTCTCTGGAGACTGAGGGTTTGCTCTTTCAGGGTTACGATGCATCTCCAGCATGCTAGTGCTCTAAGCCCAGGTGTGGGTCTTGTGTACACCAGATGCTCAACACATGGGAGCGATAGCTGGGACCAGGTTGATTCTCTGAATACAGCAGGACCAACTTTCTGTCCCTTACAAAGCACGCCATTCCCAGAAGGTGACTTGGGGACCCTCTAGGGAGGTGTCTTGGGGGCCTGGTCCTCTGTCTGTCCAGCCTTCTCAGCAGCCCAAGCCTCCTCCTCTCTAAGGCACCCAGGGGGACAGCATCACTGATCCCCAGCAGCCAGAGCCGGGAGCTGACTTACTGGTCCAGCACCACCACATCCTGGTGTCCTGTGTACTGGCGCGCCAGCCGCAGGGCCAGGTCATTGGCTTCTGACCTGTGACAGAAAAGGTAGGCACTGCTGGGACAGCTGTCCTATGGCTTTTCAAGAGAAGCCCTGTGTGCACCAAGGGAGAAGAGCTGGGTGGGGTCCCGCTCTAGATCAGGGGCATTATGGCTGAACTGTGCCCGCCAAGTCAGTGTATCAAAGCCTTAAACCTCAGCAGCCCAGAATGTTCTGTATGTGTCTATCTAGAGATAAAGCTTTAAAGAGAAAGTTAGCTGGATGTGGTGGCATAGGCGCCTATAATCGCAGCTACTAGGAAAGCTGAGGCAGGAAGATCACATACAAGTTTCAGGCCAGCCTGAGCAGCTCAAGGAGACCCACTCCATCGCAAAGAATTTAGAGTCGGGTAAATAGCTTAGTGGCAGCCCAATTGCCTAGTGTGAAACCATGGGCTCCACCCCAGTCTGGCAAGGGGTGGGAAGAGGCCCTTAGGGTGTGCCTTAATCCAGTCTGTCCTTACGATAAGGGAGCCTGGAGGCATAAGCGCCTGGGGTGCTGCACACAGAAGGGCTGTGAGGGCAGCCACCCCATGACAAGAGAGGGGCCTCGGAAGGAGCCTCGTCTGTTGATATCTTGACTTGGGCTCTGGCCTCTAAACTGTGGGAAAATACAAATTTACTGCTTGAGCCCCCTAGGCCAGTGGTGGCAAACCTAAGGCACTTGTCTCTAAGAGAAAAGATGTTAATGTACTCGTTGATTTTATAAATTAAAACCTCAGTATTCAGGTCTAATTGTGGTGTTGGCATTTTGTATAAGTGAGTGGTTTTTGGTTGTAGTTTGGCATTTGTCTCTAAAAGGTTCGCCATTGAGCACCTGTGATCCCAGTACTTGGGAGGCTGAGGCAGGAGGATCACCTTGAGTTCAAGGCCAGCCTGCACTACATAGGAAGACCCTATCTCAAAAAGACAAAAGGTTTGCCATCACTGCCCTAGTTTGTGGCACTTTGTTACCTCCACCCTAGCAAGCAAAGTAGATCAGAGGTGCCTCTGCCAGGGGGCAACCCTGCCCTCAGTGCTGTATGTGCAAAGGCCTTGTGGACGAGGGTGCTTGGAGTGCCCAAGGGGCCAAGAGAAGACAGGCTGGGGCCTGAGGAGATGCAGGAGGAGGCTGCCTGTGCCAGGGCTGGCCAGGGAGATGTACAGTTTTTTGCAGTTACGCGAAACCCTGGAGACAGGCGAGGCAGGACTGAGCAAAGCTGCGTGCGGGAATGTGGTTTCTTCCTCCAGCAGAGGGAGGTGGTGGTGCCATTTGCAAGAGGCGATGCAGTAGAGCGTCAGGAAGGGGGACGGTCTCCTTGGGAAGGCCTGGAGTAAGTGGCTGGGACCCAGGAGAATGTGGTCTTCACCAGGTGCTGACAGGAGACAGTTCCTGACTGTCTGTGGGCATGTGAAGTCTGCTCGCCAGCTGTCAGGTGGGCAGTTAGACTGAATCGGGAACCTGTGGGAAGCACCGAGCTCAGGGTGTAATGGGGATTCTCCAGCACATGGGCGCAGATGCATTCACAGAGGAAGAGCTCTGTGAATGAGAGGAGGGGCGGCTAAAGGGACAGAGGAAGGGTGGCCAGAAAAGCTGGCGGGACCCTACAGAGCGTGGTGCCCGGAAGCAAGAAGCCAGGCTTTTCAGAGCACAGTTGTTTGTCAAACACGGCTGGCACAAACAGGGCGAGGACAGCTGAGGGTCATGGGAGGCAGCCACACAGTCAGTGGTATCTCCAAGGAATGGGGCTGGTGCAGGAAGTGCACAGGGCCGCCCCTCCCGCACAGAGCTCTGCCACCTCAGAAGCGAGGTTCTTTCTGCACAATGAAAAGCTGCAAACGCTGTCTCACAGACATTACTTAGGGGCTTGCTGAGTGCACTGTGTCAAGGGCAATGGCAGTGATCGTGGTTACTAGGCTAGGGACGCAGCACAGGGCACAGCGCTGACCCCCAGGTTGCTCTGTCTGGATACCAGGGTGTACCAGGCTCAGGGTCCACCACCAGCACCTCAAAAACAAGCAGAAGAGCAGTAATAATGACCAGAACCAAATGCGGCTATGTTCTGTTGGAATGTCCTCTCACACAGGCTGTGATCATCTGCCCGATTCTTTGGTCACTGCCACTTCTACTGGAAGCTGCCACCGCCTCCCCTTGGCCCTGAACTGGGAAGTCACTGTCCACTCCTGGCCTCCCCATGTCCCGATGATACTACCTTCCTCATTGTAATCCTCCAGGAACTTCGCAGTGCTCTTAGGATAAAAACACCTTCCTAGCTTGGCCAGTAAGGCCCTGGGCCTCCAGTGCCAGCTTACATCCTCTCCTCTGCCTCTCCTGTACTACGAACATGCAGGGTGCTGTGTTCCTTCCTGCCACAGGGCCTCTGCATGGCTGGTACATGTGGCCAACCTTGACAAGAGTGCTTTTGATGGAAAGGGCAGCACCCTTCCTTTCTCCTTTGCTAGCCGCTTCCCAGTGAGATGGTAGCTTACATATAAAAGTGATTCCTCAGCAAAGGCTGCCAGGATGCCCAGAAGGCTGGCTGTACTTCTAGGCCTCACTACACTGTGCTCTTCTTCCTCGCTGATCTCACTTAGTAATTTCCTATTTTTTTGAAGAATCATTTGACCTTTTTGCTCCTTACCAAGCAACCTGAGAGCAGAGACTTGAGGCTGTATCTGTGAAGCAGAAATAAAGGAACCTGTTACCTCACTAAGTCACAACAGTGACTCTGGCAGGGGGGCGGGGCAGCCTCGACTACAGACAAGGAAACGGGATCTGACAGCACCGGGGCGAACCCCAGCAGGCCTCGCTAGGCCCTGCTGTGCCTACTGGACTAACTGCCCCTCGCTATCTCAGAGGGGCTGGCCACAGTCCACTCACCCAGAATTCAGGAAGTAAAATACACAGAGCTGCTCTGGCAAGGTCTCTGACAGCCGCTGGGCGTAGTCCACGATGTTATCATGCAGGTATCGGCTGTTCGTGTTCAGCACCTGGTTCTGTTCGTGTGCAGCTTGGACCACGAGAGGGTGGCAGTGCCCAACTGCAAGAGGTCCCCTCTGTCACGTGGCCCACAGCGCTCAGCCATCCCACCAAGCCCCCCCAGTTCCATGGAGAGATGCGGTTAATGCAGAGACGGAATGACGGCTCTGGAAAGAAGACCTAGAAAGGAGTCCCTGAGAGCCCGGGAGAAAAGATCCTCCGGCTGGAACCCTACGTAGAAAGCCCGTGTCTTTAGGAAGGTGTCTCAAGGCCTTCTGCTCCACAAAGGCAGATTTCGGGGTAACTCAGAGGATCTGACTTTACCAGTCGGGGGTGGAGGTAACCCTGATCGCCAAGGCCACAGATGATGAGAGAGAACTCGTTTGGGGACCTTGTCCTCCGTCAGGCACACTAATTGTACGAAGCACCTGGGGGCGGGTGCCAGTGTCCCATCTATCGGGATGAACACACTGAGGGCCAGGGAGCTGGTCTGCTCAAAATCCCCAAGCGGGGAAGTGGAGGCGGGGATCCCCACCTGAGGGTCTGAGCCTCAGCGGTTCAGTTCTTCTTCACCCACTTCCAGTCTGCCTGCCCCACCACGGACCGCCCTCGGCTCCCCCGCCAGCGCGCACAGGGCCGGCTGCGCGGCGGGCTGCGGCGGTCTCCTGCCCTCTCCGACCTCACGGTCCCAGGCGCTCGGACCCTGACGCCCCCGGCTGGGCGGGGAGGCTGTCAGCGGCTCCGCGCAGACGACCTCCTCCAGTCGCGGCTGCCGGCGCGGCCCGACCTCCCCGCGCCCTCGGGTCACCCGGGGCCAGGTCCGCCGGCGCCCTCCGGCCCGCAGCCCGGGCCGCGGCACTGACCGTGCGCCACGTTGCCGACGCAGTCCAGGTACTCCGCGCCCTGCTCGTCGTACAGGTACTGGCCGCGGCCGCGCACAATCTTAACGGGGGCCTCGGGGTAGAAGAGTCTGCAGGAAGCGCTGTGGGGACAGGCAGCGCGCGGCCGCCCGCGGCTCTGAGGGCGCCGCCCGCCCTCCCG